GTTAACCTGATTTCATGGATTAACCCAGTTAATTCTAGGTTAACCCATTCATTTTTTTTCTTTTAATAATTTTTTGTAATTTAGTTTGTTAATGTTAAATTTTTTTTATTTAGTTATCATACTTTCATGACACGGATCCCAAGTTTAATGGGTTAACTTGGTTTGACGAGTTAATCTGATTTGAAAAGTTAACCCAATTAATTCAGATTTTTTTTCTTTTTCTTCATTAGTTTTTTTTTTTCTATTGGTGTTTTCCTTTGTTTTTTTCTTTTTAATTAATTTTTTTATTTAGTTTAGTTTGTTAATATTAAATTTCTTTCTATTTAGTTATCAAACTTTCATAACATGAATCTCAGGTTTGACGAGTTAATCTGATTTGAAAAGTTAACCCAATTAATTCAGATTTTTTTTCTTTTTCTTCATTAGTTTTTTTTTTTCTATTGGTGTTTTCCTTTGTTTTTTTCTTTTTAATTAATCTATTTAATTATCACACTTTTATGACACGACCTTGCAGTCAGATCGACATCCAAGGCTCTTAGGTCTAGTGTTATAGCCAAAGTCACTTAAACTTAAGTCATGTAAGTTTAATATTATAAATATTACTCTTGGGTCAAGCGTTACAGTTAAACTTAAGGCTTTTGGGTTTATTTTTACAGAAATACCTAACACTTTTAGATCTTAGTCTTTTTTATATTTTTTATTCAAGAAAAAAAATTTACTTGTGGCATACGCTTTTGTTTTTTTTTCTTTTTAAGCCTTAAGAAAAACATTTTACCTATGGCATATGTTTTTGCTTTTTTTCTTTTTAAGCCTTTCACTGTGGACTGCACAGTGCGGTACACATTGAAAAAGTTGATGCCTTTAGTTTTTTTAGTTTTTTTTGTTTTTTAATTTACTTTTTTAATATTAAATTTTTTATTTAATTATCAAATTTTCATGACACGGATCCGAGATTTAATGGGTTAACCTGATTTGACAGGTTAACCCAATTAATTCAGATTTTTTTTCATTAGTTTTTTTTCTTCCTGTGGCTTTTTTTCTTTTTCCTTTTTAATTAATCTTTTTTTTTTAATTTAGTTCATTAATATTAAATATTTTTTCTATTTAGTTATTACACTTTCATGACACGAATTCCAGATTTGACGGGTTGACCTAATTTGACGAGTTAACCCAGTTGATTAAGATTTTTTTTTCTTTTTCTTCATTAGTTTTTTTTTTCTTTTAATTTCATCTTTTAATATTGTATGCAGTCCATAGTAAAAAGACTGATGTTTTTTATTTTTTTTTGTCTTTTCCTTTTTTAATTAATTTTTTTCCTTCTAATTTGGTTTGTTTATGTTAACTTTTTTTTCTATTTAGTTATAAACTTTCATGACACGAATCTCAAGTTTGACGGGTTAGCCCAGTTAATTCAGATTTTTTTCATTTGTTTTTTTCTCCGTATATGTTTTTTATTTTTTTTTGTCTTTTCCTTTTTTAATTAATTTTTTTCCTTCTAATTTGGTTTGTTTATGTTAACTTTTTTTTCTATTTAGTTATCAGACTTTTATGACACGGATCTCAGGTTTGATGGGTTACTCGGTTAATTTAGATTTTTTTTTCTTCATTAGTTTTTTTAACCAGTTAGCTTTTTTTTGCCTTTTTTATGCCTTTGACTGTAAACTATACAGTGCAGTCCACAGTAAAAAGGCTGATGCATTTTGTTTTCCTTTTTAATTAATTTTTTTTGTTAATGTTAATTTTTTTTTCTATTTAGTTATTAAACTTTTATGACACGGATCCTGGGTTTGACAGGTTTGCCCAGTTAATTCTTGGTTAATCCGTCATTTTTTTTCTGTTTAGTTATCAAACTTTCACGATATGAATCTAAGGTTTAACGAGTTAACCTGACTTGAAGGATTAACCCAATTAATTCATATATTTTTTCTTTTTCTTCATTAATTATTTTCTTCATGTTAGATTTTTTTTATTTTTTTAATTAATCTATTTAATTATTATATTTTTATGATACAACCTTGCCGTCAAACCCATATCCAAAGTTATTGTATTTTGTATTGCAATCAAACCCACTTAAACTTGAGTCATGCAAGTTTAATATTATTATTCATATTATAAATATTACTTTTAATCCAAAACTTTTTAGAATAATTTTACAAAAAAACCTAACATTTTTAAATTTTATATTTTTTAATATTTTTTATAAAATAATTAACCCACAGCATACGGATCATCTAACTAGTTTTATCCTATAAAGAATCAGAATGCGTGTTTAAAGACAACTTCTACTATTTCCTTTCCAGTTAAAAGCTGGTGACGTGATGGGATATTACTGCCGAAATCAATTGAATGGTAAAAAAAATTATTATACATGTCACAGACTGACCACTTAATGTGTGTGGTTGAATGGTTAAAATAAAAATAAAAATGAGGAGGTACACAAAAAGCTACATGTGAGTTACCATCAATAAATGTTCCATGTACTTGAGAATTTACCATGCATCCAAAATATTGTACGCGAGCATGTAGGGCATCAGTATATTCACCCGCACTTTGTAATGGTTTGAATATATATATATATATATACACAAAGAGATTTTTTAATAGTATTATTAAATTTAATCAACTTGATTAATTTTAAAATCTTTTGATTTAATTTTTTTGTCTAACTTAACTTTTTAATTAAATTATATAAGATTTAATTTAATTTAAATTAATTGATTTTATATATTCAAATATAATTTTGATAATCCATAAAAATATGACTTAATTTTTTTATAAAATTTAAGATAATAATTTTTTTAAAAAATTATTAAGATAATGATATATTGGATTGACTCCCCCGTAACCTAACCTGAATTATAAACTTTATTGAGTTTAATAACTTTTTTATAATTATATGGTAAAAACATATGCTCATAAAATTGAACACCGACCTAAAAATAAACATATTTTTTTAGACAATTATCTCTATAAAGGAAACAAAAATCAATAATATAGTTTATTTTTTTAACTAATCTAATATTAAATAATGAAATTAAAAAAATAAATTAAAAATAATTAAAAAAAACATATTCTATCGGTAGGTAAATTCGTCAAGCATATAAATAAAATATAATAAAATAATAAAAAATAAACATATTCTATCGATAAGTAAATTCGTCAAGCATATAAATAAAATAAGCTGGTCTAATACACCAAACATTTGAACCAGGTTATGAACTCCAATGTTATTATAATTTTTTTAATTTATTTTTTATTTAACTATATAGTAACAAAAATAGATAATTATAAAATCAAATATCTACTCAATACCGAGATGTATTTTTAGATATAAAGTTAAAATCTACAAAACTCGTAAACTGTGGCAACATGAGTTACCTTGGTGAGCTCATAAACCACACTAATCTTATATAAAGATAAAATAAAAAGAAGTAAATTACAAAGATAAATTCTTAATAATATCAATTTTAAAAGATAAAATTGATAAAAATATATTTAAATAAAATTATAAAAAAATAAAAAATAAAAAAATAAAAAAGAAAAATATTGTGGATTACCATTATAATTTATAGTGTAACGAGTGTTGGGTGAACAATGAATTTCCTTATATTTTTTAATTTTTGTTTTTTTTTAAAATTTAATAATATAATTTTTTCTAAAAATAGTTTTTTAACAGAGAAAAAATAAAAAAAACCCACTAAATCCATAAATTAGGATAAACTAAGTTACTTTAAAAAATTTGTAACCATTTAATCTTATAAAAAGATAAAATAAAAAAATTATAAAGTTAAATTATTGATCATCTTAATATTAAAAAATAAAATCAAATTTTTTTTAAAACAATTATAAATATAAAAAAGAAAAATTATATGTTAAGAAATAGAAATACTATAGGAATCTAAAAAAAAAGATTATACTACTTTCCCCATGTATTTTATTTTATTTTTTATAATTTACACAATCAAAATATTCTCAAAATTCTAAAATGCAATTATGAGTAGCAAAAAACACACTAAATAATAACAAATAGTTAGCGCCTGTTTATTTTTATATTTTAAAAATATTTTTTAAAAAATTAAATTTTAAATTTTTTTAAATTGTTTTAAATATTTTAATATTTTTAAATCATAATTTTTTTTAAATATTTTAATATTTTTAAATCATATTAATATATTAATATCAAAAATAATTTTTTTAAAAATAAAAAAAATTATTTATATATTTTAGCATAATAAATTATTTAGCAAACACAATGGAAAACAATCTCTTACGATCTTTATAAGGCAAGAAAGGTTGGTAATCAGAGCACGCAAAAACTGCTGACCTTTTTCACTGTTAGAAATCACATAAACATGGTAGAGCAGCAGAATTCATCTTCCAAAGTTCAAGCTTTATATGAACTCTGCAAGACCTTTACACCCTCTGGGGTACCTCCTTCCTCTCGTGCCATCCAGAAACTCTGCTATCTTTTAGGTATTTCATTTTTTTATTTGCTCTTATTATATTTATAATTTTCTTCTTATGTTGTTTACTTCAATTCTCAAGTGGGCTTTCCTTTGTTATGAAGCTGAACTTGAAAAGGTGAAACCTTTTAAGAATAATTGGAATTTGTACAGTATGTGTGTGTGTGTGTGTATTGGTTATCCCTTCAGCTTTTGTTGGAATTAGAAAACTTTAGCAGAGTTCTCATGATACAACTTAAGGATGAAAGTATGAAATGACATACATTTGCAATAATATTGGAAGAGCCAACGCATTATTGCTGCATCAATATATTGATTCTCAAATTTCTCTTATAGTTATGGAATGAGTGACATTTCGTTACGTGCTTCATTATTTAGCTTGCTAGTACTCTAAGCTACAAATTTCCGTGCACTGCTCTGCTGTTTTACAGACACGGTTGGCCCTGCTGATGTAGGGCTTAGAGAGGAAAATCGAGATGATGATAGAGGAAACTCGGTTGCTCGATGGGATCAATCCATAACATACTTAGATATTTATAAATGTGATAGTTTTACGGTGAGCTTTACCATCTTCTTTCTGAAAAATGATTTTGTTCATGTTGGGGTATAGCTATTGTGTTTCATTTCAGTTATATATATATATATATATATATATATATCGATTTGTTGGTAGATTTTGGTAATGATAGTTAGAATTAATTTAGTACCATTTCACTTCTTAAATTTTCTTCTTTGCTGGTGTTTGTGCTTCTCGACTAACAAAATATTTGTGCTGAAGTTCTCCTTGATATTGTTTGAGTAGTTTTTTTATTTGAATAATATATTCTGATTTTGAGAAGTAGGCTGGAAGTGCAGATTGATGTTTAAAGTTGTTTGATATGACGATTCTCTTTATGCAGATGTGTATATTTTGCTTTCCAACTTCTTCCGTTATTCCACTTCATGACCATCCTAGTATGACAGTTTTCAGCAAAGTTCTATATGGCTCTTTGCATGTGAAAGCTTATGACTGGGTCGAGCCTTCCCGTTACCAAAAAAGCAAAGGGCCTGGTTATCCAGCAGGTTTGCCTTTTGAGAGCCATTTCAACATTCAACCTGTCAGTTTTAGAACTTTCACTATCTTTTTTTTTTATTATTATTACCATCAAGAATTGGAATAGTTTGTGTGCTCATTTGGGGTTTTAATTCCAAATCATCTACAGTTATTTGAGTATTTCTCTTCTATCCACTCCTAGTTTGGGTCCAGCTTTAATCAATGATTCACTTTTTTCAAAAGCAAGATCAAGTTGAAATGAAAATCCATGGATTCAAATGCTTTTTGTCAGTTGTCTCTGCAATCTAAGGAATGTATATCTTACTGCATTTTCTTCTTACTAGATAAAATCAAGGCTCCATGATGCATCACCCTAAGCAAGCTCAGATACGTTGATGGTTGCTGGCTAACATTTTTCTGTTTAATCAAAAGCTGAGCAGACTAGTAATGAAATTATTGGCCTAATATAGATAATTTTCACTTGTTCCATGCCCCATAATAGAGATGGTTTTTATTCAGAACCATTATATTGTTCAGACCCGACATCCCATATTATATGTGTATTTGTATGTGTTCAGATAAGTAAATATGTATACATCTTTGTGTGCATGAGTCAATGAGTGTATGTATCTATGTGCATGGGTATGTAATGAGAATTTCTTGGTATTAATTAGTTAAAGTAACTGACTGATGATGTCACTTTTCAAATAGTTAGCCTGTTGGCAATAATACTTTAATTTGCCCTATAAAGTAGTGTTGTCAAAAGGCATTGAGGCACTCCAGGCCAAGCCAAGCGAGGCCTCATCGCCTATATTAGCCACAGGCAATGGATTTTAATGAAGCATTGCCTACACGAGCGCCTTGTGAGTGGGTGCAAGGTGTTAAAGCTAGCACCTGCATGAAGTTTTTCTTTTTATGTTGGATTTTTTAAACTCATTTATATTTTGACTTATTTATCCATGTTTTAATTTAACACAAGAAACGACTTAGGGGTATTTTAAAAAAAAGGATAAAAAAATCAATAAAGTGGAAGACAAACATACACTTAGAAGAGAAACACTAGCCACACTTTCTATTTTCAACCATGGGAGTTGGAGAACAACACATCTATATTTTATTATTGTCATCTTTTTGTTTTTTTCTCAATTAATTTCTTTATTCTTCAAGCTTCTGCTCTCTCTCCCCCATGCTATTTGTTCTCTCTCTTCACATGTCAATTTTAAAGGTGTTATGCTACCACAATTTTTAACTTTTTGTTTTTGTATTTTAATCTTTTTGGTTACCACTTTAAATTATCTTGTTCTGTTTTAGGGTGAAAAATATAACTTTATATGACTATGTTATGGTATTTTATATTTTCTTTTGATTTTCTAATGATCAAAACTTAATTGAGAAGATATATATTTTAGATTTATATAATATAATACAATATATATATATATCTATATATTTATTTATTTTAATTTATAGCATGTTGCCTTGGTTCTTTCAGGGGAGCACCTTAGGCATTTTACAGGCTTCGTGCCTTTTAGTGCCGTTTGCCTTTGACAACACTATTGTAAAGCAAATTTATAGCATATTCCCTTGGTTCTTTCAGGGGAGCACCTCAGGCATTTTACAGGCTTCGCGCCTTTTAGTGCCTTTTGCCTTTGACAACACTATTGTAAAGCAGCCCTTTATGGGCTAAGTTGTCTGGCATCATTTAGCGGTGTTTGGAATTGAAGTTGGTCTATTGAATTATAGTTTCAAATACACAGGTATGAACTTCCACCAAATACAGGCCATTAAAAACCTTGTGATATGATATCAGAATATGAGACTGACTGTAACTAACATTGTGGACTTCTGTCCCCTGTAGGTGCGTTCACTAAAATCTGTCTGTAAGTTTGCTGTTTGTTTGGATCATGTTTTACTTTAGTTTGGGTTACAAAGAGTAAAATAGGTATCACTGGCTATAGTCACTATCTTATGCGTTAGAGTTTCAAGTATAAAGAGGTGCGGGCTAATGATGCCCATCTTTGGCAGTATTGTTGGCGAAGTTAACAGTTGATAAAGTCTTGACAGCTCCCTGTGGGACGTCAGTATTGTTCCCAAAAAGTGGTGGGAATCTGCATTGTTTCACTGCAGTCACCCCTTGTGCTGTGCTTGACATTCTTACACCTCCTTACAGAGAAGATGCAGGCAGAAAATGTACTTATTACCATGACTATCCTTATTCCACATCCTGTAAGTAACCTTTATTTCCTTTCATTATTATAATTTCAGTCACCGTTTCTTTCCCCTTTCCTTGCTGTTCTACTGTTCTTGCTGCATACACGAGCCGAAGCATGTGAAATTCATGTTGGATTCTTGTTTAGCCATGCAACAAAGAGTCACCGTTTTTTTCCCCTTTCCTTGCTGTTCTACTATTCTTGCTGCATATACGAGTCGAAGCATGTGAAATTCATATTGGATTCTTGTTTAGCCATGCAACAAAGCTGAATAGCTTTTTAACATGTCACCATGCAGCTATAGGAAATGGAGATGAGTTAAGCGATATAAAACTAGATGACCATGCATGGCTTGCTGAGGTAGAAACACCTGATCTCTATATGCGCCAAGGAGCATACACTGGACGAACTGTCAAGGTTTAACTCTCATCTGTTTGATCAATACATTACCTGTAATTCTCTTCCCAGTTTTGTATACTCAGGATCATGTTATTGCTAACTCTAACTGCAACTGGAATGTTGAATTTTGAACTCAGTGGATGATTTCTCTTTAATTACATAGCTGAGGATATCTTTTTGCTCTCTTTTTTCTTCAGTAGGATAAAATGACTTGAAATGCAGAAAATCCTCATAAATCTGTAGTTCTCAGTAAGCTGTAAGAGTCATCTCTACCTTCAGCGAATTGTATGGTTATAGAACCCTGTTATTTATTCTTTTGTTACCACGTACTGCTGGGGTCTCAGATTGTTGCAGTTTTGTTGATGCTCAGTGTATCATAGGGTACTTTTGATCATTATGCTCGAGACTTTGCCCCAGACCTGCAACTTGAACCAAAATGTAGCTTATTTTTCTCAACAGCTGAAAGAGTTATGCTTTGTTAATTATTTTGTTTGATAAATGATCCACTGGAGTCTTGTAGAACCTAGCTGGTATGTAAAACAGTATCTTCTAAACATGGATGAAAGGAAGCCCCGAAATGGATATGATCAGCTGGTAGATGGCGTGGTATGTAAAGCAGTATCTTCTAAACATTGATGAAAGGAAGCCCTGAAATGGATATGATCAGCTGGTAGATGGCATTTCTAGCGCGCGGCTTCTTGCCGAAAACTGCCGCTTTTGATCTGATTATTTGTCAGCTTATCAGCATCCTACTGGTTGCGTTCACAAACATTCTATCTCTTGTCTGTTGTTGGACGCGCTGAGAAATATTATATAAACAACACAGAACGTATTACAAACCATTTTGAAATGAACATCTCACTCATAGCATTAAATTAAATTAGAAAAAAAAAACTAAGTCGTTACCGTGACCTCCTAGAGATCACTGTAGATTACAACATTAATCTATCATGATTTCTTTTTCTTTAATTATATTTCTTTTTCCCAGTTAATGTTTAGTTTGGCAAGATAAATTTAATTATATTCATCTAAAAAAACTTAAGACATATATAACCACATTTGAAACTAAAACAAATGAGGGACTACATTGATAGTTAAGCTTCAAATTATGATAGTGTTAATGATTTAAAATATTTTTGGTTTAAAAATATATTAAAATAAAATTTTTTATTTTTAAAAAATTATTTTTAACATTACTATATTAAAATGATATGAAAATATAAATAAAATTTATTTTAAATAAAAAATCAAAAACTTAAAATATTTTTAGAGCATGAATTGCACGCATTTTCAAACATAACTTGAATGTGCAAGAGAAGGGAAGGGAAGAGTGGTTGGTACCTACAACATGTGTCAGTGTTGTAGAGAAGTTGTCACTCTCTGGCAGCATGTGTAGGTTTCTCATCAGTTTTGGAAGCGAGTTTTTTCATTTGACGCAGCGTCCACGGTGCGACTATAGGGGCATTTTCTTTCTTCTCCTCGCTTTTTTTCTTTTTTCGTGTTGAACACTCCGAGATAGCAAGGTGTTCATTTTTTATGTCAAATTTACTTTTTATTTTTTTATTGTTTTTTTTTAATTTTATATTTAATAAATTAAAAATTAAATTTTCATGATTTTTTATTTATTTATACTAAGAGATAATCTCCATATCAAAAGTTGGATCACGAATTTAAAAGAATAAATGGATTAATGTTGATCTTTTAAATTTTTTAATTATTATTTTAATTTCATCATGTAATATTAGGTTAATCAAGAAATTATATTTTATAATTTTGTTTTTATTTTTTTATAAAATTATCCAGGTCTCATAATTTATATAACTAGTTTAATAAGTTAACTTGAGTTAATCGATTTTTTTTTAATTTTTTTTAGATTGAATATTTTTATTCTTAAACATTAAGTTAAATTAAAAATTAAATTTTATAATTTTTTTAATTTATCTGTTATTGAGTTGTTTTATTTGCATGGCTAGGCCTTGATGGTTTAGTAAGCTTATCCAAGTTTATGTTTTTCTACTGAGTTTAAATTATTTTTTTTGGAATTTGATTTTTTTATTTTTATCTTAAATGTTTTATTAATTTACTTTTTTTTTCTTATCTTTAGATTAATTAGAAATGTAGTTTTGATAATTTTTTTAATTTTTATTTTATTATGAGTAAATTATATAGATATCTTTTCAATATCTTTTTATCTTTTTAGAATATTGAAAAACATTTTTTTTTTATGGGTCAACATGTCACCTGCCTGTTGATTTCCTTACTCTAGAGAACGTCGCGCCATCTGTCTCCAGATGACACAGGAACGTATTCGTTGGGAATGGGCTTCCACCAAACAGTAAAGAACGTCGCGCCATGTATTCGTTGGGAATGGGATTCCACCAAACAGTCTGAGATGAGACGGACAAGCACAAGAGTTTCAAGAGATGAGTTGTCATTACTGGGAACTTATGCATCATCATCGGTTTTTTTTTTTTTTTTAACTGCTGTTGCTTTTATTTTATTTATTTTTTATACCATTGCTTTTTTATTTATCATGCAGTTGAATAAACCAAATTATAAAATCTAGTTCTATCCATGGCATGGCTTGAGTTGTAGCTTGTAAATTTCTCTTCTTTGAAACACGCTAGCAACATGAGAAAGAACTGCACATACAGCAATGGATCTTAGCTTCAGATGGATTTATAGCACCTGCTGTTTGATATTCCGATCTCAGTCAACCTCCACAGACTAGCACAGGTCATTCTTTGTGCTTAAAAGTTCTAACAGCGCACTCGAGAGACCCAGAGATGCTGGACCACCAAAGAGGCTACTGTCGTGATTTCAAGCATGAAAACTTAATGCGTAGATTAGAGATGGAGAACTTCAAAAGTAGTGCAAAAGTTCAGCTACCTAGCATGTAGCAGAATGATATGAAAAGGAGAAAATCTAGTCATTTAAATTTAATGAGTTTAGATAGCAAAGAAACTTATTATATAAGACAACATAGAAACAGCAGCGGTACAGATCTGGAACCAACTCACAAAGTCACATTTAACCGAGTTCAGCTTTCTAGCACAGACCAGCTGAACTTTCTTATTCCGAGGCACAATTGTTCCCATCAACACTTGGAAGTTAAAATGCCAAGCTGATCAGGAAATTGTTTCTAGGCATACATGCTGACTGGTTAGGTAAAAAATCTCACTAGACTTTCCAGGTCCACTGAACTTGTAGCTCTGGAATTGCATGACGCTAAATTTGATCCAATTCCTTTTCCACAAAATATCCTTAAAGGGATCTGAAACCTTCACCAGCATATCGCACATTTCCAAGTTCCTCTTCAATGCGCAGAAGCTGCAAGCAAATTGAAATTCACCAGTAAAGTGATGACTGTAGATTTGAACAAATGAAATAAACAGAACCATTTTCTGCAGCTAAGAGAACATAGGCAAGATTATTGAACAAAGAAAGGCTTTACATAAGCACAAGATTCTTGGGAGATGGATGATAAAATCTTTAGCTTATGAGATAAGCAGAAAGGATACCGATTCCTCTTTGTTGTATCAAAATCTCAGTCCGTCGAGAATGTTTTAAAATGGGTTTATCAGATCACCCAATTAAGCCAAATCTCCTAAAATGGGCTCTAATTGTTATCAACCTGATCTAACTAGACCTACAGGAAGCTACCACATTGTGAATATGCTACAATCATGCAATACTGCACTGATATCAGAATTGTTGCTAGCTGCATTTTCAGCCCTCTCCATGTCCGTTTGTGAGAGAGAGGTCTAGGTGTTGCCTAGAGGTGGAAAAAGCATCATACTTGAAAATAAGAATGCTGAAAGTAAACGATGGGGGGGTTGATAGGAATAAGAGAGACATCTGCAGCAATATTTGAAAGGGCAAAGAGCAGACAAGAGGTTACAGTTTTTACCTGATTATACTTGGCCAACCGCTCACTTCTGCAAGGAGCTCCAGTCTTGATCTATACAACACAACAAGTACAGTCAAATCCATAACAAATGAATGGTGCAGTTTATCTGGCATAGTATAAGGAGTTTAGATAATAAACCTGTCCACTGGCCAAGCCAACAGAAAGATCAGCTATGAAGTTATCCTCAGTTTCACCACTACGGTGGCTGACCATCACACCCCAACCTGCAGCTTTAGAGTCAAGTGCTGCTCTAATGGATTCAGTCACTGTACCTATCTGGTTAACCTGCAAGTCAATGGATCAAGATGAAACAATTTAATTACACCATCAGTGTGGAAAAACTTTTACTTGCAAATTCCATTTTCTGAGAGCAGAAATAGATAAAGACTGTAACTTCTGTATAAGGAATAAGAAAACGAGAAAATGATAGATTTTATGCTCGCCTTCAGTAGCAAGCCATTGCAAGCCTTTTTCTGAATTGCTTCAGCGATTCTCTTTGGATTTGTGACCAACAAGTCATCTCCAACAATCTGGATATCAACTGAAGATTGTAGTGAAGCCCATGAATTCCAGTCATCCTGGTCAAAGGGATCTTCAATAGACACAATAGGGAATTCCTTGACAAAATCCTTGTAGAGGTCACCAAGGCTTTGGGCTGAGAGCACATGAGCTCCATCATTTGGTTGGTTTTTAAAGTTCAAATCATATTTTCCATCTTTGAGAAACTCTGAAGCAGCAACGTCCATTCCTATCTTGATCTGCATCATTATTTTGTGTTCAAATTAAGTATAAGGAAAATTTTACCCGCAGCATAAACAGAAAAAGAAACTGACTGCTGTCTACCTTTCCTGTGTATCCAGCCTTTTCAATCGCATCCATGAGCAAAACTAGTCCTTCCCTGTTATCCTGAACATTGGGAGCAAATCCCCCCTCGTCTCCAACATTGCAAGCATCTTGTCCATATTTTTTCTCAATAATTTTCTTCAGTGTATGATACACTGTCACGTTAAGAAATAAAACAGTTATCATTCGTTGTCATAACAGATGGGGACTTGAAGTAAGGGCAACACTAAAGAACATCTCCATCCATGGTAATCATAATAAAAGATCTTAACTTCAGAAACCACATAATTAGAAACTGCAGGTGGAACTACTGCATAAGGTTGACAACAATATTAAATCCACATCCATTTCAGCTTTGATTCATGATGCTAAACTAACTGTAGTTTAATTCTTTTTTTTCTCCTCCCCGTTTCAGGTGGAGGAAAATATC